CGCAGGTTGCGGATTCCGTGGGAGGCCTCCTTGCACGGTGCATGATGCTTTTTATGCCTGTTTCGTTCTTTCGTTCGAGGTTTATACTCGTTCCCCAGATGTAGGGATCCCAGATGCCATCGTCCTGCTGCGCATCTCCCCCCACCAGATGAGATGATGTGAACTTTCTTGCTTTCGAATGTTCTGCATATCAACCATAGCATTAGATGCTATATATGGCTCCTGATCTTCATTAGACGAGATTCCCTTTGACCCTTCTGGTGGATGCTGCTTTTAGCTTCTCTCTCTTTCCCCAATGGGCCCTGGTTTGGATGGGAACCGCTTTTGCTATTGCTCTTGGGTCTTGTCCAGTCTGACTAGACACTTCCAGTGGTTGGATGCTGTGCAATTGCCCACACGTGTTGCTGGTAATATCCACTGTGTTTGGGAGCGTGTCATGACTGAACTGTGGGATATTCCTTTGTAGCACGCCGTTGCATCTCAGAAAGGCCAGCGATGCTTTGTATACATACCAGTACCTGTTGAGCGTTTCCAGTCTGAGCTATCTCATTGCATGATGTCCTCTTGGCGAAATGCGGAGCATGCACGATTCATTTCCACGCACTTGCTGCTGGCACACATTCTTACATCTTTCATTCGTGCAGGAGCCCTTCTCGCTTCTGTTGAAGGCATCGGAGTATCTGTCGCTGGACGCGCTGGTGTATTCCTTCAGCTCCATTCAATGTCTTCTCCCATCGTCAGGAGTGGCAGAGTATCTGATGGCCGCATCACTGCTTCCACTGGCCTTTTTCCTGTCTTTGGCGCTTGTGCACTTTGCCTACATGTGCTGGAAGAGGAGCGGCCTACGCCTGGACCTTCTGGGCAAGACTTGTGGCTCGTTCTCCATGCTCTTCCTCGTTTCAATCATGTCGTCGATTCTGGAGCCCTTCTATTGCTACTCGCATCCGAATGGGGACAGAAAGAACCATGCAGTCCCGTCATGACGTGTTCTGCAATTTCCGGACTGAGCACCTGGAGATATGCATGGCGGCCATTGTCATGTGTCAGGTTCCGATTGCCTTCCTGGCCATCTGTGTTCGGATTGTTTTGGTCGATCTCCCGAAGCGGATTCAAAGGGCCGACGTTGACTTTGTGAATGCCTGTTCTTTCCTGATTCTGCGATACCGTCCGGGCGTAGAGGTCTTTGCGGTGGTTGTCTTGATCCGGAACGTCCTCCTGACATTTTCTCCTTTGATTGCATCCCAGGCTGGTAGTTTGCTGGTGCTCTGCATTTCCCTCTACATCACACTCTGTGGGGCAGCGTTTTGGCGGCCGTGGCGGACTCAGCTGGCCACCTACACGGATCTGGTGATGCACGCCGGCCTGCTGCTCGTCTTGGACATGGGCAAGTTCTACGCGCCCCTCCTGGAAGAGGGCTACACGCTAATGATCATTTGCGTCGTGGCTTGCTGTATCATGCTCGTTTGGGGCATTTTAGTTGTGACGTGGGCCGCGCAGCGCCGCTTCTCAAAGCACCGGCGCTTCCGCTTCGCCCTCAGCCACCACACGCCTGAGGCAGGGACATTGGCGCGCTTACTGAAGCTCGAGCTGCAGCAAAGGCACAACTTGCGGACCTTTGTCGGCTCGGATGATCTAGCAGATCTGACGCAACGTTTCACCTGCATCGCCCATGATGTCGACACACTGGTCGTCGTGGCAGGCCGCGAGTTCTTGCTACAGAGGTGGTGTGCCGGTGAGGTGGTGACAGCCAAAGCCCACGGCGTTGATGTTGTGCTTCTTGCTTTACCCGACTTTGTTCTGCCTGATCGGCATTTTGTGGAAGCTTACGAGACCCTAGTGCCGCGCGTGCAGGAGCTTGCTGTCCATGCGATAGATCTCGGACAGGTGCAAGACACACTCATATGGTTGAGTTCGGTGGAACGCTTTGACCTCGTGGGTGGCGAACCGGAGATGCTCACACGTGCGGTCAGATGGCTGGTCGGTAACGGTAGTACGATGAGACACCCCTCTGTCGTGGAGGCCAGCCGTTCCACAAGTGTTGAACGGACCACGTACCTCGTCCTAGCGGACACGACGCACATAGAGGCACAGGCCGCAGCTTATGCCCTCTACATGGTGCTGGGTGCGAAGATGTTAGAGCTGTCCTTCAAGGGATCGCTACGCGTGATGCGCCCCGGGGATGGGGATGCAGCTGACTTTGTGTCCGACTCGGGCACAACACAGCTGCTGCTCTGCACAGCAGGGTGTTTGGAGGTCCCTCAAATAGCTTCCTGGCTTCTACAGCTGGGTCGGCTCCACTCCAGCTTCATCCTGCCAGTTGTTGCGGAGGACTCCTTTCAGTTCCCTTATCCTGGTTACAACAAGCTTGCAGGCCCCTCCGACGAATTTGACGATTTGGACATGAAGCTCTACACCCAGGTCCTTGAGGCTGTTTTCCACGAGATCTCGGTGCCGTTCATGCCCAGGAACAGGGTTCCAAGGGATTCGGCGACGCAGGGTTTTGCCTCCTACTGGGTAGAAGTATGTATAAGGCATTTGTTGTGAGGTAATTGTGAGATGAGGAGAGTGTTGATGATCAGCGGTGATGACTGGGCCAAAATGTTTTCATGATGGGAAATCCGTGGCAACGCATGGCAGTGGGCAAGAGAATATGTATTGATGCCACGTACGACCAAGGCTTAGCAAGACGACACTGAAGCAGCCTCAGACGAATGCGAAAATCAGTGCTAATTAGAGTAAGGCCAGGAACAGCAGAAGCAACAGCAGCAACGGCGAAACAGCTAAGGAGATAGCAACAGCCGCACAACCATCAGCTGAAACAGCAACACTAGTAACTTCAGTGACAACAGCAGCCAGAGCAAGACGCCATCAACACCGTCGACAGCGACAGTGACAAAGTTGACCGCAGCAGCAACAATGACAATCACGACAGTAGTAACAGCAGGAGTAGCAGTCAGCAGCAACCACAGCAACGACAACAGCAATCACAACAACAAGAGCAACACTAGCAATAGCAAGAGCAGCACCAGAATTAAACCAACCAGCAGTAGAGGCACCAAGAACAGCAGCTGTAATTGTGGTGCCAGCGTCAAGGGTAACGTAAACTAGCACGGCTTGTCATTGCCAGGAGCTTCAATGCAAGGCAGCTGGATCTCCAAGCAAAGATTATTGTGGAACGCCTCTCGCAGAAACGGGAGGCGCTGCGCACGAGACCTTCCATGAGCGTCTTGCCAGGTGCGGAGGGTTTAGAAAAGAACCTATCTGGGCTTCCTGCCAAGTAGCTGCTGATTCCCCCAAAATCGTATCCTGAAAAGCCAGGTACCACCTTGGAGAGTGCGGACGTGGAAGATTTGTTGATGATCAATCTGTCCCTCACTGATGGCTCCGACGAATCCACGTTTGGGATCTAAACCCACCTCTTCGTTGATAAAGTTTCTAGTCTCGTACCAGACATGTCTATCTGATTCTCGAAGAAAGAGAGGCTGGGTACCCTGGATCCCTGTGGCCCCAATCCGTAGTCCGCTAGTCAAGGCTTCTTCATCACCGTGGGGCCACAGGGCTTGAATGACAGAGTCCCGACTCTGCGACAGTGTGACAAGTGCTCGCAATTTTCTCTTCACGGCTGATGTTCTCAGCTTTATCATGCCTGTCGGCAGCCGACACGGCACGGTCTTGCACAGTCTAGACTGGGCTCTCTGACAACTCAGCAGTCCACATCCTGGAGAGCCTTCCCTTCCTTGCCACGGGGAAGGCCTTCCGCTTTGCTTTTCAGTTGGTTCACCCCAACACTGGTTGGACACAAGCTGGAACGGGTCGCACTCTGCTTCTGGCCGGTATGCAGTAGTGTAGTAGTGGCCGTGGTCAGACTCGTAGTAGCAGCAGCATTCAAGGAAGAGGAAATAGGAACGAAACAATGTTAAGAAAGCAGCCGCGATGTTAATATGAATGGTAACAGTTGTAGTCATAGTCATGGTCGTAGTCGCAGTCGCTGCCACAGTCATAGTATGTCGTAGTCATGCTCGCAGCCATAGTCGTGGTCATGGTCATAGTAACAGTAGTGGTAACGGTATAGACTACAAGTAGTTGTAGCAAGAATAGCAAGCAGCAGTTGTAGTAGTAGCAGTAGT